ATATTTGGTCCAAAGTGTTACAACAGGAGGTACTGATTGCTGAGTACTTCTGAAAAAGCTAGCTCCTATTATGGGTATTAAGCAATAAAAAACTTGGCCCTCAATTGTCTGAAAATTTAGCTATGGACTGAGGCTGAGATTTTCAAAATGTCCTAGAAACTAGGTGCTTTATTTTGGGTGCCCAAGTTGATGCAGGAGCTGTTTTTCCAGAAAGGGGCTCTGAAACCCAGGCCTCTTCAAGGCATGCTAGATTGAGCACCTGAAATAATAAAGTACCCAAACCTCAGAGTTATTTTTCTAAATATTGGCCAAAGTGTCTTGCCCAAGGTCAGCAAGTCAGTAGGAGAGGAAGGGAAAAAAGCATTGAAAGGAAGGTATGGGGTCTTCTTTTATGAACCACATACCCCGTCTCTCCAGATAACATGGATTAGAATAAGGCCCTGGAAACAGCCTTGCTTCTCTTACCAGTTTGTATCATGGATTGTGCAGGTTTCAAAGAAAGACCTACTGAGTTGTGTCTACACAGCAGATTTTCTTTCCCAGCGCAGCCACATTCGAGTCTGAGTCTCTACACCAGCGATTCTCAATCAGGGTGTTAGGACAACCTGGAGTGCCCTGAGATCCTTTGAAAAGGGCCTCAGGATGTAAGGAAATAAGTGAGGTGTGAGGAGATAAGCAACTAAGTGTAGGTTCAGGCTTGTCCTTGCTTAGCCAACCTCCCACTTCCCAGCCCCACTGCAAGGAGATAAGCACCATAATATATAAATTAGTTTTTGAAACTGGGTTCCACGCACTTGCAAAAGTTATGGAGGGGTGCTGAGTCCAGCAAGGGGTGCCTCGAGTCCCAAAAGGCTGAGGGTAGAGAACAGTGGTTCGAACTGCACTGCCCAGCTGTATGGGTGCCTGCGCTTCTGAGAAAATCACGGTAGCTTTCTCCAAGTGTGGAGGGGCCAACATTTTTGGCAGATGTGCCACAAGTTAGCCCCATGCACTCCCCGAGTGCCACTTGGATCTCTTTCACCCACCCAATCTGCTGCTCTTCTGTCTGCTCCCTGCCCCATCTGCCCCAGTCTGCCATGGTCCATACACACAGAGGCTGCAGGTGTGTGATGATGAGTGTGAGTGCAGGTATGTGTAATGAGATGATTAGTGAATAGAGAACCATGACGATGTGGAATGCAGCAGCAGCAACACAATGCCTCTTCCAGCCCTGTGCTGGCCGAACCAGTTATGCAAACTTTGTATATGCCGAGCTTTATGACCAAAACAGAAGTTTGCCAAATCCATTATAGGGAAGCAATATCCATGGAGAACTAGCTGTCAGGAGCTGGGTTATATGTCATGTCATTATGTTTGAAGCCCCGGACCTTACAAATGTCATGTATGTATTGTGTAGTGTAATGTATTGTGTACATTGCAAATGCAAGCTGAATGTGCAACAGAAGGGGGGCAACCCTACAGAGTCCTGCTGGCTGCATGATGGGGACAGAGTCTCTCCTGCGCCTGTGTTAAGACTAAACCAGCTCTCAGATTTTCAGGCCCACTTCACACGTTAAAGCCCAGAGCCAGACTGCTCCAATCTCAATGCTTAGCAAACTGCAGCAAGTAGGGGGTTGCGGCAGACTCTGCATGCAGCACTCCCCTGCCACATTCCCCTCAGGGATAACTTGACATCCTCCCCCTGGCTCCTAACCCCAGGCTGTGGCTCTCTTCATATTCTAATAGCCCAGCAGCTTCCCCACTCCTGGACAGGCATCGGTCAGGGAAGAGGTGGTGAACCAGCATTCCCGTGGCTCTCAGCTCTTACCACAGAGTCTGCATTCAGAGCAAACAAAGTCTTTTGGCTCAGATCAAGCATCAGTTTCTTGGCCTCTGGTGGGCTAAGATCAAGTGGGGGCATCCAAATCCTAAGACCTCCAGGCTTGGGCCTGCACACAGGATTCCTGCCAATGGATTTGGGAGTAGCTGAAGTCCCAGGGTGAGAGCCTGGGGTGAAGGATGCTCACCGCTGGTAGCACCACACGTGGTGTTGGGAATGATTGAGTTCTGCCCACGCAGTCGATACAGAACAATTTAGTTCTGCTCATTCGATCTGATTTGGAACCAATTCGGCTGATTTGACCTGGAGCACGAAATATATTAATTAAAAAACAAAAACAAAAAAACCCTCAAAACCAGTCTCCATCCAGGACCTGGGTCCTGTAGCTAGAGGCATTTGCAAGCCACTGCAACCAACAGGACTTTCGGCCCTTCCTCTACCTGCTCAGGTTGCTTTTCCTGGTGATGCGGCCAAGTCTCAAGGCAGGGCAAGGGCAGAGGGCTCTGGCTGCCCCCAAGTTTCCTTCAGCTACAAGTGCCAAACTGCTTCTTAAAGGGGCAATCCTGGTGTGTTCTGGGTCCGCCCCACCCTGCCAGGCAGCCCCAGGCATTTGTCATCAGATTACACACCTTTTACTCACCAAATGAATGGTGCAAAGAGTCCTTACCGGGCTTGAGCATTTGGCCTTATAGTTGAATTTCCCCTCGCAAGGATTCATTTATAAGGGTTTCCTCTGGCCTCAAAAGTCATGGGCTCCACTACTAGTTTATTATGCTTTGTTTCTTTGATTTATATGCTGCCCTGCTCAACCAATGCTCAGGGCGGCTCACAATAAGAAAACAGAATAATTAAAAAAATAAGATACCTTAAAAAACAGGCGACACACCAGCTCTGTACCAGGCAGCACAAACTGCATGACAGGCACCTTGCAATTTGTGCCCAACCCTGGCAAAGCCAAACCAAGAAAACCCTATGAAGTAGCAATTGTGTGCACATGTTATACAACACACCAAGCATGCATAACACTCTGCAAGTCCCAGCTCTTGTCTTGTCTGAGAAAATTAAGGGCCCGAATCCCACTGAATTTCATCCTCCTTTCTTTCACTAGGGGATCATTGCAGTCATCATGTGTCCGGTGACTTCTCAGACTAAGATTTTTGTGATAAAGGAACTGAAAATCCCAGCCACAGAAGCATAAAAGAAGTCAGCACCCAACTGTCTCTGAAGTCTGGCTTGAGAATTTTCTTCTGAGGTTTCTATATGTGTAAATGAAATGTAATTATAATATGAGCTGTGCATATGTTAGTAATTCAACTCACTATTTTCAAATTCAGGCAGTAGAGCTTTGCTGCTGGGCTACTTCAGATAAATAACTATAACCACTGTTTAGTCTTGTAGGTATAGGAGACACAAAAACCTACAGCATGAATGATATTTTAGTCCTCTTTCCATGTGTAAGAGATGAACAAGAATATTTAAAGCGAGTAAAACTCACTTACCTTCACATGTCTTTTCTTTGGTTGCCAGAAAGTGCTTATATTTAGATGGGTATCCTTATATAAAAGGATATGTGCCAACTTGAAATTTAGGTTGAGTAATGGATTGAGGGTCAGATGTAGATACTAATGCTAAATTACTCAGTGCTCAAAGGTGGGTTGTTCTCTGGATGGTTCTCTTTTTCTTCAGCTGTGAAGTCTGAATCCAGTTGAGAATGTCCTTAAAGTCTGAAGATGTCTGGATCTTAGATTGAACCTCTCTCTAGTTCAGACTGGCAGAACATGTTAGAGGCATTGGAAACATTGCAGTTTTTAGGGCGCCTATATATGAATGCGGAGGCTGCCCTGACGCACTGGAATTCCAGCACATTGGAGCAGACTTAATTAATCAAGTGGACTGGAGAGTAGCAATTGCCACGCTCCAGCCCCCATGCTTAAAAATGGTAGCAGGGACGCTTCAATCAAAGCTCGTCAAATGACCTTTAGTTCAAGCACCCCCAGCAGACTTTTTAAGCGAGGGGATGCCGATAAAGGAGAAGCAGCAGTGGTTTAATTAGAGCAGCTCTTGGAGTCGCTCTAATTAAAGCCCCCCCTCCCGCCGCTTTCTTGCCACCCACCCAAAAGTGCCCTAAGTTTTTAATTATATGAACAAAGTAATCCTGCTTTGCAGCAGGGGAAGTTTAGATGGGATACTAGGATGAACTTTTTCATTATGAAGGTAGTTACGCATTACAACAGCCTACCCAGAAAAGTTGTAGAATTTCCATCCTTGCAAACTGCTGAGAGCAGATTGGACACGCACTTTATTTGGGATGATTTTTAGTCAGAGATGATCCTGCCTTGACCAGGGGGCTAGACTAGATGACCTGCTGAGGTCCCTAGCAGACGTACTTCCCTATGATTCTTCAATGCTAACACCAAACCTATTTTAAAAACTGTAAACGGTGATATACTGTCTGGTGTATACATCTGTTGTGTAATAAAGATACATATTACAAAAAATAATCTTATGTTACTTTTCCAAATTGCCACACCCTTGACTTTTTATGGGTATTAAAATAATTAATTACATATGCATATAAAAACCGATCAGTTCTACAATACTGATCACAAACATGCCCTTTGTGATCAGTAACCATTTAGAAACATAAACCAAAGTTTAAAAAAAAAAAAACTTAATGTAGTCAATTTTCTACTTCCTGCCAGATAAGAACCCACAAAACAAGTTATTGGAGCCATAAGATATGAAAACGCTACTAACGTAAATAATTTACTATTTATCTAGCACTCTATAGGATGAGCTCTGCCAAGCGTCAATATGAAATGCTAAGAAACATCATTGCTATTAGAGTTTTACAATTCTAGGTACTGAGAGGCAATTCTGAAGAAGGCTGTTTCAGCTCCCGGCCGCTTATGCAATATAAGTCTGGAAAGTGCTATCTAAACATTCACCTGCATTCATATTCATAGCCATTTTTTAATCCTTCCACAAACTGAGACCATTAATCAAAATACATACATAGGGCTGATATTCTTCTAATTTAACCTAGCCAATTCAGAAGCAACCTCACTGAACTCCATGGAGTTACAATGGCATAAGTCAGAGGACAATATGCTGCTACTATTCAGATTCCTCTTAGCACAACGAAGTAAGATTAAAAAAAACAAACAAGGGAAGAACTCACCTTGCTAGTTGACAAAATACACGCAGGGCCTCCCGTTGAGATGAAGGACAGCTGCCTCTGAAGCCACAACAGCTCCTTCTGAGACTGTTTCAATAAATCCTCCATATCGCTTGGTTTTTGACCCACTAGCCCTTCCTGCAGAAGGAAAGTTTTCTTTAGTAAGCAGTTCTTTAAGTACACAGCACGGGTAAGGTACAATTGTGTCACTTCTGAATTTCTAGATCAACCGCAATATCAGCAAACGCAAACTATTAATATTTATACATTTGAGCTATAATTAAATTTAGGAGTGAAAAGGGGAAAAAGTGTTTCTACTACACACACACGCACACACACACACATATATACATACGTACACACACACACACACACACACACACACACACACCATGCACACAAGTTGCTTTTATATCATAGGCAGTCTTGCAGCTGGACAGCCTTCATTTAAGATACAAAGATTGTTTGATACAAAAAATGCAGAAAGCGCAGAATATTGGAAGTTTTCCTTGCTTAATTTAGTGATCATCCCTATCATAGGCTTCTGGCGCCTAAAAACTTGATCCATTGTTTCAGACTAAGTAGCTCAACCTCCTAATGATCTTCTAATGCCCTAATGCCTTCTAATTAAAGAGGGTGATTCAATTTGCAGTGGCCATTTAATTAGGCTAGGGATTGTGATTCCTCTACATGGAAGGACAGCATTCAGGAATTGGTTAGGCTGCCAGGAAAAGCTTTGGGAAAGCTGTGGTTCAGTTCAGTAATGCAAAACAAAACAGAAAAGAGCAGGAAAATGTAGAAACATAAATCAAGATGGCTGGTTCAGCGACCTTTAATCTGTGTTCTGAACCTAGTGGAAGGGATCGTCCCTCCTACAGTAGGGGCAGGCAAAACATGGCCCTTGGGCCACATCCAGCCTACCAGGCCATTCTCTCCAGCCTGCAGGGCCCCTCCAGAAAGCAATTACTACCAGACCGCATGGGCCCTCTGAAAGCTGTGTCCCATGTGGAGGCACCGAGCATGATGGCACATGACTAGACAGCTGATAAGTGGGGAGGCTATCTCCTGCCTTCAGCAGGGAGGGGCAGGAGGGGGGCTTATAGGTGGGTATGTGTCCCCTTGCCAAGGCACACAGCCCCTGCCACCAGCAGAAGCAGCAGCAGCAGGTGGCAGGCCCTAAGGTCTTTGGCCCACTGTAAGCAGATTCCCACAGCGGTGCACAGCTCCAGCTGAATCACAGGAGCTACAACTGGCAGCCTGGAGCCAGCCTGCTGGTGCATGCCTTCTAACTGGACCGGGTTGGCTCTGTGCAAGCACGTGGAGCTCTTCACACTGCAGGCAGGAGCTGTGCACCATCAGGCTGGGCCATCTCCGTGCCTCCACGTGGGACTTCCAGCACTCCAGTGGGGATCTGCACGTGGAGGCAAGGAGCCCACCTGCTCCAATGGCACACAACTCCCTGTGGCTCCTGTTCTGTGCACCATCGGGCCAGGTGGGCTCCATGCCTCCATGTGCGGCTCCTTACTAGAGTACTGGAAGTCCCACATGAAGGCACGGAGACAGACCAACCTAATGGCACATGGCTCCCGCCTGTAGTGCTGGGAGCCCCTCCGGTTTGAAGGCATGCACCAGCAAGCCAGCTCCATGCCACCATGTGCAGCTCCTGGGATTGAGCCAGATTGTGCCGCCAGGGGTTCTGCTTGCTGCAGGCCAGGAGTGCCCTGAGGACCCACCGCCTGCTGCTGCTGCCATCAGTGGCAGGGACCGTGCGCCATGGGGAGGACCCACAAATACTCTCCCCCCCCACCCACAAACACCCACCCCCACATACTCCCACCCCCACCCCCCACAAACACCCACCCATACCCATACCCCTTCATAAATCCCACACACAATATACAGCTACTCCTCGCTTAAAGGTCATAGTTACATTCTTGAAAAATGCGACTAAGTGAAACAATGTTAAGCAAAACCAATTTCCGCATAAGAATTAATGTAAATAGGGGGGGTTAGGTTCCAGGGATTTATTTTTTTTTGCCAGACAAAAGACATTGTATACATATACAGTATAAATTTTAAATAATTTTAAACAAACCATTTAATACAGGTATAAGTTTTAAATCACTTATACAATCACACCGAGTTAGAGATCTTCAGGGAATACCTGTACCGACACAACGTAAACAACAATGGCTGCCACGCTGAAGTGGGAGTGTCGTTTGGCTCACGTCACAAAGTAGTTACTTACTAGCAGGTGGCGGCCAAACAATGTTATAACCGAACATTGCGTGACTTTAAACGAGTATGTTCTCCAATAGATCAGCAACATAATAACGAAACAATGATAACAGACGTTAAGTGCGGAGTTACTGTACAAGAGTAAGACTTTATTTTGGGCTATTATGCAATAACCTCTACATACACTATGCAAACACATGTAAATCAGTACAAAAATATTTTTTTAAGTAAAATTAAAATATGTTATAGTAGATGTTTGATTTTTAGTATACGATTTGTTTTTGGTTTTTTTCTGGTTCCAAATGGGAAACTCCCCTCCCAAAAGGAGTACTTCCAGGGGTAAGCGGTGGGATGGGGGGCAAGAAGGGGACTTCTGGTCACAAAGGTCAGGGGTTAGGAGTGGGACTCCTGGTCCCAAGATGGCGATCAGGGGGCAGGGCACCTGTCAAGAGGCAGGGCTACCCTTGCAGACCTCAACAGCTCACCAAAAGTCATTAAGCGGCCCTCCAGCTGAAATAATTCCACCCCCCCCGCGTCCTACAGTGTGCGACTGCGTATCGACATCACTGATTTTACGACAGATTGTGAAATGCAGAGCAGACAGTTTGTTCATCGAGCATTATTTGGAGAAGTGTTTTGTAACCATTTGTTAAGAGAACACCAATTAAAAACTACAGAAACACCAAACAAGCCAAAGGACAAGCACATCACTATAATGAAAGCTTGAACCTAAAAGCCAACCGAGAAGGGTTGCGAATTCAATTTAGGTAGCCCTTGACCAAGCTTGCAAAATACTTACTGTCAAGGGGCTTCCGTCTCTTTTGTTGCCTTTGCTTTAGTTAACCACAGTATTATAGTCTGTATTAAAAATCATCACCTGTTTAAATACGAAGCTGTATCTGCACTTCCCCAGAGTTTCGAAACACTTTGATTTGGTTTATGTTGCCATCTTGAACAAATGAGGACACTTAGCTTCTAGGTGTGAAGACTGGGTCAGCATAAAAAAATTGCAGACATAATAAAGAAATGTCCCACTCTCTAAAAGTGGCAGTACCATTGCCCCAAGTTGTTCATATGCAAATTGGAATTCATAGCCAATTTTAAATTACGCAGTTGTGACCCAGCATTTATGGCTGCATTTGTGTATATAAGAGAATGAGAGATAGGACAGAATATTTATGTTCTCTGCTATACTACTATAGTCCTTACCTTGAGGGCAATGGCATAAAGGTGCTTTTGAGAAAGGGGGGGACCAAAGTTAGATGGTTTTGAACAAGAAAATCCCAACATATAAGAGAATATTCTGAGATATATGCTGAATGTTTGACTTTTGAGTATCCAGGCTTTATTTTTCTGGATACACCATGCCACCTTCCATCCACTTCTTGGGCCTCCTCCATTACTGCTTCTGCAAAATTTAACATCACTGTTCTAAGAGTCCTTCCTGTTTTATCATTTGATGGCATCCTCAATCAATGTGTTATCTATTTATACTGGATTGTAACCTCCTCAAGCAAAGACCTTGCTGTCTTATTCGACTGTGAACTGCCAAGCATACATATGGTGCTACATCATGCAGAATAACAGAACAGAGCATCCCACATCCCTGTGAAACAGGGAGTAGGCGAGTTTGTCCAGGCCCCCTACTCCCCAAACTAGTTTTCAAGCAGCATGTTTTGCCTCCCCCACAGCTTCATGCTCAAGGTGCACAGTCAGTAAAAAGCAGAAAAGGGTTTTACATAAATAGAAAAGCAAACAGCTTCCTTCTGCCTGCCTAAAGTGTTGGTCTCCTGCCAATGGTATCATGAACAGGGCACAGGCCTGGAAGTGAGGACACATGGTTTATACAGTGCGCCTCTGCCACTGACCTGCCCTGCGACTCTGACCCTTGGTCATGTCTACATAGATAGTAAGTTATTTGGGGCAGAGTCCATCTCTCACTATGTGTCTGTGCAGCTCCTAGCATAAAGGGCTTTTAATTTCATGTGGGGCCTCTCAGCACTACTGTCACAAAAACCTCTCAGCAAAGAACTAACTCCCTGCCTAACACTAAAAGACGGGGTCTGTACCTTTCGTCATAGCCCCAAGAAACAACTTTGATTTATCTGGCTTTATAATCCTCCTTTCCAGTTTAATAGTTCACCAGAATAATTGGGCTTTAGTAGTAGAAATGAATTTATATTTACCCTCAGGCAGCCCAGTCGGTTTTTGAGCTCCTCGCACTCGACTTGCAGCAGTCGGATTTCCAGGTCTTTTATGCCTTGAGACGGGTTGTTAATACTTGGCAGCTGCAGGGCCTTTATGTTGACTGCACGTATTTTCTGCTTTAGGGGAAATCTTTTGATGGTATTTCTTCCGGTGGTGGTGGTGGTGGATGATGCGGGAGCCAAAGGGCTTTTGTCCTGGTAGAAAGACAGACACATTGCTTATGATGACATTGCCAGGATCCAGTGAGGTTTGCTGGAGCTATTTCTGGGGGAGGGAGGAAAGTGGAGTTTCAATTTCTTCAAAGTTGGAAAATGTAACACAATTTATTTCACTCCCTCATACTTCAGAAAACTACTCAATAAAGTTTGTGCAAAAACTTTTAATTAAAAAGAACTATGACATAAAACAGCAATGGAAAATTTTAGCTTGGAAGCTGAATTTTACTTTAACAGAAGATTAAACATGGACAACAGCAGGTTCAAATAGAAATTGTTTCGCAACCTTAACTATTGCAGGTGGGTACTACGAGGCACTGATCCAAAGAGCATGGAGATTGACTCGGGCTTGTCCATTAATTTCAGAGCTATATTCAACACAATTACATGTTTATACCTATAGAGGGAATATTGGGGAAAAAAAAGATATCAATATATGCTCAGATACTAAAACACATTCAAAAGTATTTTAGGAAAAAGAATGCAAATTTAGTTTTGCCAGTGCAAATATTCACAAAAAGCTCATTTCACACATGAACATTCACCAAAAAAAATTGAAATTGGAAAAAAAAAAATCAATGTTTTCTGTGACTGTTCATGTACTGTGTGAATGCGGTGTCCAAGAAGCAGCACTTACTCAAAAGCTACAATCTTTACAAATGCCCAGCCGAGGTAGATGGAATCCACACACCGAGCGACAGTGGCTCAGAGATTTGGAAGTCAATAGCTGATGCCATACAAAAGAGACAGAAAATTTTACATTGGCATGAGTTTACATCTGGAATGCTACACCAAAACATCATCACCTTAGGAGTAGAGACTGAATGCTCAAAGCAAGTTACTCATGACCATTGCACAGAATTAGAAACTGTGAGACTGGATGAGAAGCCTAAGGACAGGAAATGTGGGTGATGAGAGGAGAGAAGGGAAACCAGAGGGAGAAGGAAAAAAGGATAGATTTAATAGGAATCCAGGAGATTCCCCGTGAGAAAATAAATAGTCTTTACAATGGGGTCTGATTTGTGTGCAGAAAGTAAGGTAAGGGGGCCACACATGAAACCGAAGCGAGAAAACATTAAAATTAAATAGCTGCTTGCTGAGTGAGCACTGTCCATCCCCTGTACACAATGAGACTGTGGTCTCGTAGAAAATGCAATCATTCAATTAAATACTGTATTATAATTAATCCGTATGAGGTGGCTAAACTAACATTGATCAGGCAACCTTAATGCTGGCATCTCCTAACTCTGGAGTGTTTTTCTTGGCAAGTTTATAATGTCCTTTTAGGAATTCTCCATGTGCAATTATCTCTATAAAAGGCAAGATTAAACACTAAATCTTATTTCAACTAGAAACAGCTAAAGTTTTTATAAAATCTATTTCTTGTTAACATAAGGTCTAAATAAGGCTGCACACCCATGCTCAAAAGATCTGCATTTGACCTAATTTAGATTAGTCTCTTGTTTTAAACTTCATGTTGCAGCTGTGTGATATTTATTTAAAAAAAAAACAACAACAGTTGGGTAACATTTATTTTTGGGATGTGGAGGTTTCTTGTCTATTTTAAACCAAACTAATCGTAGTCATTTGAATTTTTTGTTAATGCCTATAATCTTTCTGCATGCTTATTACATTTAACCTAGCTCATTCCAGAGTATCAACCTAAACTTGTGACATTCAATTATGTAAATCCTTTAAAAAAATCTGTATTAGAAATCAGTTCACATCCTGAAATCCTCACTCACTCAGAACTATCATGAAAATTAATGGCACTGTTGATTAGGTAAAGACAGCAGAATTTAGCTCTTTCACCTGAGATGCTGACAAACCAGAATTTTCAAAAGAAATTCAACTTGCCTGTGCCAAGAATACTACAGCACTGTTAGGGCATACTTTGCACCTCAAGACCAAAGCTGGATTCACTGAAATAGCAACACCAAACACAGCACTGGCATGGAGCAGATTAAACACTTTTTCCTAGAGTGACTAGTTAATTGGTTTCTGCAAACCCAGTAAGCAAAGTGAGGCCCCAATATTCAATGAGATCCCAGTGAGTACATAGCAATTCATCACCAAACTCCACATGGCTGACAAGATAGGCACTAGGGCTGTGCGAAACTCCGGTCCCCGATTCAATTTGGCAGAGATTCGGCCCAATTCGGTGGCCAAATCTCCAAATCCGAATCAAATCAAAGAACCCTTTAATCTCTCTGAATTGAATTGGAACCCTCTGAATCGATTTGGAGAGATTCGGTGATTTGGACATAGAGACAGCTTTAAATGTTTTTTCTACATACCTCTAGGTAGCAGGCGGCGCGTGAATGCTGCAATGCTGGGGTGCATGGAGCATCCCACAAAAGTGTGTGGGGGGAGGGGGTGTCCCCAGCATGCTCAGCAGCAGACCCGGAAGTGGATCAGAAGCACTTCTGGTCCACATCCGGGTCCGCTGGAGAGTGCATGAGGCCCCCACCCACACCTCCCCAGCTCAGCGACTGGTGCCTCCTGGATCTGGGGGGGAAACCGGGGTCCCCCCGTGGCTGATCGCTGAGTCAGGGGGCCGTGGTGGGCCCCCACACACTCCCCAGTGGACCCGAAGTGGTCCGGTCTACTTCTAGGTTCACCACCGAGCACATGAAGGCCCCCCCCCCCTCCTGTGGGATGCTCCAGCCACCCCAGCATTGCAGCATTCACAACCTCGAGTTATGTAGAAAAAAGATTTAAGCTGTGTCTATGTCCAAATCGCTGATTCTCCTAATCAGCATCAAATCTTCAGATTTGACCGAATCGAATCAGGGACAGTGATCTAAATCAACGAATTGAAGCACTATCCCTGATTTGGGCCGAATCCAAATCGAATAGGTTGGCAACTAAAGGGAAAACTGGAGCGGTTTTGAAAATTTTAATTAGAAAAGGTGTTTTAACAAAACTTTTCATAAAGTTATGATTTCCTCTTAGACAGAAATGCCAAACTTTGTTCAGCTCTAGAAAAGACATTCTAGCTTAAGTGGTCTACTTTATAAAAGTTTCATATTAGAAGCTTCTTCCACATCTCTCCAGTCCAGTTCTGAGTGGTACACAGGTGGGGTTAGATTTCTAACAGCAGTACACTGGCCATAATTTATATCTTCCCACTTGAGTACGTGAAATTTTTACTTTTGTCTTTACTGAGAGCAAGGTTGGGCTGACATTAATCACTTTTGAAAACCTCATGGCTGGAACAAGTCAAATGATGGGGGAATGAGAGAGTATTTGTGAGTAAACTTTCCCAGTGAGGTGGCCTCCACTTCTTGGGGGTCATGCTAATTTGCTACTAATGAATAATGAAACAACTAGCATTCACTAGTCACAATGCCTGGGAATACTCCAAAACAGAAGTGAAGTATTAACTTCTTTTTTAAAAAAGTTTCGTCAATCAAATCAGGGAGCAAAGGACAATGCCACGTGACCAATAGAGTACAGGAGGCAACCGTGGATCCTCTGGATCATGGTGTATGCGTCAGAGGTCTAGTCAGCAAGACCTTTAACATATATGCCTTGGCAAGACTATGGAGTGGAGGCTGCCAAAGACCTACCATCCCCACTTTACACCAGAGACAGAATCCAAAGGCCAGACTGAGTCCAGAGGTTCAGTGCCTTGATGGTTATAGCTACTGCCAGGGAGCAGACTGCCTAACACCCCAGCAAGGATGTGTTCCCCTAGCTTTTATCCAAACAAGGAGTACCCACAAGGCAGTGGGAGTTAGGGTTTTGAGACACCCTATACATACCTTAATCTGAAGACTGCAACATTGTGGAATTTTGTAGGAGCTACCCCACCATGAGTAGTCCCAGCACATTGCCACCAGGCCCTCCAGTCGGATGCAGTTTATGGTCATACCCAGGACCCAAGAGCGTACAAATAATTGGTAAATCCAAAGAATTTAAGAAAACATAGAACTTCTTCCATTTGTAGAATTTTTGACTAATCCAATGAATGATACCTGACTAGCCCTGATCACTAGATTATTGCAAATATCACTGAATGCCACATGATGGCACCACAGGGCTGCTCTTGGTTCGCTGCTTCCCTTCCTTCACATACAGCTCTCCTATACCCACCTCTGTCAGCACTTTAATCGTCCCTTTTGCTCTTGCTTTGAGCATCCACCTCAGGGCAGAGTACTTCTAAAGTGCCATCATTTTGAATGAACACTGGCATGTTTTGTCACATCACAAATTCTGCAGTGAGAATTGGCTGTTACACAACTAAACTTTGCTGACTGAGGAACAGGACTGATGCAAATGAAGACCCACTCGGAGGCTAGTGCTGATAGACTACAGTAAAGGATAGCCAGTGGTACTTATATGAACCAGACTCTCCTGTCACCTAACTCCTTGCCTTGTCTCAATGGGTCTACTTGTGGAGTAAAATACCCCTAAGCTTGGACAGTATTGAAATTTAGCCTGTAGTAGGAGACTCATTTGATGGAAGAATATTCTTTGTCATCCAGCATGTTCAGGTGTGAGACTGACGATCTCTGGTCATGATTCCCTTTTATATTGTTCTAGCAAAGCAATATTAAAGACGACTCACTGCAGCTGAGAGTCAAGTCCCTGTAACCAGAGCTTTCCAGATGTCCAGAAAGAGTCGAGTACCAAGCTTAGAGCTTGTCAACATTTTCTCCGAAACAGTTTTTTTGGCTGAAAATGCTGTGTTATTTAGATCACTGTGTTTTGCAAAAATCAAAATACCAAAATTGGTATATGTAGGCATAAAATGGAGAAAGATCTTCAAAATGCTGACGAACCCTATTTTGACATCTATTACATCAAAATATTTTACTTTTTAAAGACTTTTTATTTTGAAACATACTTTACATCAATTTTCAAAAAGTGAAAATTGGGACTAAATATTTATAACTGACCTAAAACAATATGGATCTTTTTTGTTTTGGAATTTGTTTTTGTTTCTTTGGCAAAGCATAATTGAATTTTGGCTTTGTTCTGAATTGGGGCAAAAATCTATGTTGGATCTGTTTTGTAATTAATTCTTAGAAAGAGCAATTTGCTTGTAGTCTGGAGCATGTATACCTTCTGTATTAACCAACATGGTAGCATAGGAACACATCTATAGCGATCCTCATAGAAAAGCCCCTTTATAAAGAAAGCAGTGGTCTGAAACTCAGCATGACGATAATACCAAATTCTCTAAAATGCCTTCCTCCCATGCTCTTCCCAGTGAAAATAAATACATACCAAAACTCTGTAGAGAAAATATTAATTCATAATAGCATGTAGTAAATGGAACTAGTCAGATATTACAGTAGGAGGAATGGTAAGAAAACCTGAAGAATATATGAACAACAGTAAGTAAAACATATCTGCACTTTAACCTTTGAACTGCCAGGTCATAAAACGCATAATGTAAAGCTTTTATCCCTAATATGGAAGATTAACTGATTTCTCCCACATATTTATACTTCTAAGCTGGAAGAGTTTATGATCTTAGAAGCTGCCTAAAATTCTGAACACACACTCAGCACTGTACACCTCTAGTAAAACATGCTCCCCAAACCTGCTATTCTACCCCTGTATATATTATAACAGGAGAACCTACCTCCTTCACCAGAATGGACCTTTTTTATTACCAGCGTGAACAAAACACTTTGTTCTGCATAGAGACTTTCACTGAAAACATCAGTGACACACCGTCCTCTAGTGCTCAGTTCAGTTCTATACATGCAGCAACTATGTTTCACAGGAAGGTGAGATATGGGGTCAAGGAAGGCAACATCCAAGTGTCCAGAAAAACCCATCAGACACATCTGAATAGTGCACGCTTAAATTTTTCACCTTCTAAGTTCAAGGGTTGCTCAGGACTGAGATGCAATGCACAATGAACACTTGGGTCAGGGCGGGCAGAGGAGAATTCAACCTGAAGCTGACTATCCAGTTTATGGGTGTGCAAACATATTGCTTTTAATGTTAGGAAACTACTCACACACACCATTAGTTCCCTTGTTACTATTTTCATTTTGTACCCAGCCAGTGCCTCTAAAGGCATTTCTAAAGGTTGGAGTTTGCTGGCTTTTAAGAGATCCTGGACATATGAGGAACTACCTAGGTACATCCAACCATTTCTGTGATTACCCCACAATGTTCTGGTCATTAAAGCAAAAAGCAGAACTCGTCAAGGTTATCATTCAGGTGTGAATAGGAAAAAAAAATTACTGCCCACATTACAATAACCCAATAACAGAACAGTTGTTCCAATATCAGCTTTCAGGTGACTACTAGCACATGATGAGATTTTAATAATGAAGTCAAAACTAAAATGTGGTATCCAACATTTTTATGACATGGTGACAGGAATACCTGTGTCCCTGGTCATACGAGCTTAGCACTGTTTCGTTACTTTATCTGAACCTCAAAGATGTGTTCTTGCTAAATGCAGCCCAATCTGAACCACACCTCAGGGCATGACTGGTCAAAATCTGGACCCAAATCTGAGTTTTTAATTTTATCCCCAACTTTATCAAAATCTCAGAGTCAAGTCAAAAGTCAAAATCTCAGGCTTACAAACCTAAACAAATGCAAAGACAAAGCAGTGGAGGGATATAATGTGCAAGCAAGGCAAGATATATGCAAGAACAGGGCATTAGCATTCATATTTACTGCTCAGCTTCCTGGCTGTGTGCTCATTTGTCCCTGTCTTTTAGGAACATCAGAACCTCCTCTTCCCTTAAATTGGGATAAAAGGGGAAATGTGAGCAGCAGCCCAAAGGATAATGATGGGTGAAATGACACATTTAGGAAAGGAAGAATCTGGTTCCCTGACAAACGTTCAGCATGTGCAAATATCCAGCTGCGTCCCCCTCCTCGACCACATCACCTACAAGATTTTTTTTTTACGTCAAACTATTGAGTAAACTAAAGTGTGGACTATAGGATAGGGCATCAGCCTGAAATTGAGGGTGTTTAAAATTCAGACCTGAATTTGGAGGCTCAAATCCATTTCCAGTTTGGAGCTACCTTTGACAGTTCTGCTCACGGAGCTGAAAGGACACCGTGTATGATGAACTAAATTCTGTAAACTAACTAATGAAAACCCCTGCTAAATCAGGAGCATTAGATAAAATTATAAATATGGTTTTAAGAAAATGAGTCTTATCAACAAATATGAGTATTTTATGGTAACCTACAGCACCTGCTATTGTAGCCAAACAATAAATTCTAAAGTCAGGTTACGCAGACACTTATGATCCGAGTGACGGGATGATCTAGCACAGTGGTCAGCAATCTACGGCCTGTGGCTTGGATGCAGCCCACAAAGGGATTTTATATGGTTCGCCAAGCCAGGAAGGCAGTGGCACTTGGAAGTGGGGGAAGCAATGGTGGCAGCAGCGGCAGCTGGGTCACGAGCACTGGCCCACCTTTGAAGCAACATGTTCATTCAGCCCCCCATTGCTGAAAGGCTGCCAATCCCTGGTTCAGCAAAGTAAACATCAGAGGATACATGGGTAGCTTCCTGAAATTAAAGTTCTCCATCACTTCTAATTATAAAGTGGACTAAAATACAGCATAGCTCAGCAACAGGCAGATTGAACATATGCTGGTGAGAAAGAGTTCCATAAACGGAGTCTGCTGGGTTACACCTGGTTAAAGGACCGTAGTGTCTGGAGCCAGAAGGCATCCAATAAGACTGTTGAGGATCCCACTGCTTGATTTTGGAATATTAATAGATTCTTACAAATGGAACCTGACGTTGAACTCAAATGAGTAATTCAGTCGTGCAGTTTCCATTCTCCGAAGCAGCTGGTTTTGTCATGAATGAACAGTGTTAGGAAAATTTAATCAAACTGTGAGGAGTTAGATCTGCTAAACCTGTACATAAATATTTAACACACGAGGTCCTATTAAGCTTTTAAAACACTGAGAAAATGTTAGAGCTAAAAAGAAGTTAAGTGTTGCCAAATACCCAAATACATTTTTTTTAAAAGAAGATTTTTAGTGTATGAGGCAGGACTGACAGGCCTGAATAATGAAATCCTCTGTGCTAAGAGGAGGTGGTATCAGGGGAAGCTGCCCCTTTACCGCCATGTCATGTTATTTTAGAAGAACTGTGCTTTAACAGGCAAATAGGAAAGCTCAATCCTTTGCCATGGATTGAGGCAGCAATGGGCAAAGATGAATTCAGCAGCGAGAAAATTAGTGGCTGCAATATAGTGGTATGACAGTGGTTCTTATCTGCTGAGTTAACCCCCTGGCTGCCAACTGCACTGACACCTTACCTTGCAGCACAGCTGGGCATAAGACTGATGAGGGGACTAGAGCTATTGGGACATGCCCCAGTAGCCCCAATGGCTACACCCTGCTCTCCCTGAGCCCTGCTGCACCTGAACCCCACTCCCTCTCCCAAGCACAGTTGATTTCTGTCACCAGCAGTAATGGACAAGAAGGTGGAGTCTGTGGTGAGAAACAGCAGCTGCAATAGGGTGGCACCTGCACTCTGGCACCCACTCTAAATCAGTGCCCAGGGCTCGTGCCCAGCTGCTCACCCACTCCCAGTTATGCTACTGATGACCAGGTGCTTTCTATCAGGCTGCTTTTAGAAGCAACCAATGAATCACATTTGAAACAGTTCACCGTATAAAGGCCTTTTAATACCTACTAAGTGAAGCTTAGGGAAGTTCAAATGTGTGCATCTCTCATCACTAGGTCACATTGATTTTTATCAATCACTGCCAAACACGTTTCTATGGGGAATTTAACGAAAAAAAGCCAATATTTTAAGCATCAAAATGCAAGTTTCTCCATTTTTAAAAATAGAAATGCTATGAAATGTCCTATTTATGAAAAGAATAAATCCAATTCCTCTACATCCTGGAAACACCATTCAGTCAGTGCAACACAATGCAAAAAGAAACGGGACATTTCAGGAATAGGGTATAAATCAAAAAAGTAGTGCCCAGAATTAAGTGCAAAGTGTAGGCACACCAATGGTGAGAAGAGAACTAGACAGAATATGTAGTGTTAGAACAAGTAAGGATTAAAAGGAATAACAACCAAGGACTTTGGAAGTGCTAGGAAATCCCTCTCTCAGAGCACAAGCGAGTCTCTAATGAAAATGGGTCAGGAAGAAACTTTCTCCATGAGCACAGCTGCCTACTGCAGGGTTCCAGGAATCTTTCTATGAAACACAGGGCACTAGCTACTCTCCGAGACATTTTACTGGGCTAGACATACAAAGAGAAGTATTTTTACAGCAATCCATTAAGGGAGTGTTTAAAAAAAAACCCATGTGAAAGTACAGGGCCCATAACTTTGTTGTAAATTTTACCTTGCTCTTCTTGACAGATGTGGAGGCTCTTTTCTCTTTAGTCCTGGCCTCAGGTTTGTGGTTCAGAGGCTTTGCAGAGCTTTCTTTTGCTTTCCTGTTGTCTTTTTTGGGCTATAGAACAAAAATTACAGATCCAGCATTAGAGTACAACAGTATACAATTAAGAACACCCCAAGACTGAGTCAGCATGAACACAACCTGTCATTGCATAGGAAACCACAAGTTTTGGGGAGTGACATTGAAGGGCTAGTGGAAGATATTGGATGTGAAATTCAGTCTAGGGATGAGGACATAAGCTCTTTGTGGCATCTATTTGTTCTGTACTTGTAAAGCACATGGGGGAATTGCTATAGGGCCAGGGTTCCTTGGCAGTACTCTAAATAATAAATAATATTGCCCTTTAGACACCCTCCTTCTACTTACATGGTGCTGCATCTCCCTCAAGATAGTGGGAGAATGCAGTGTGGGTATGAAGAGTCTATATCGAGGTTAAGTAGGACATAGGGTTAAATCAGGGGTGGGCAAAATGCAGCTCGTGGGTCAGATGCGGACCACCAGGCCATTCTATTTGGCCTGTGGAGCCCCTAAAACTTTTGGAAAATTAATATTTATTTGCCCCTGGCTCCCTGTCATTCAGCCCTCGATGGCTTGCCAAAACTCAGTAAGCGGCCCTCTGCCCAAAATAATTGCCCACCCCGGGTTAAACAGTAGCATGTGGGTGAATGACTAAGGACCTCCTCATCAGGATAGCAAGGAGATACCACCTTTTGGCACATGCTCTAGCTGGGATGACATGGCACACGTTCAGGGAGCAGACTCTTGCTGCTATTCAATGCAATATGTTAACGTGCAAAAAATTCAACAGCTCCATCTGTAAACACACTGTGACCTATTCCTAAATTGCACATTATACTTGCCATCCCAATACACTTAATTGCTTTGCTTTTTCATGCTATTCTTACTAAGGGGAAAGACTTGAAAAAGATGTGGCAAGTTACAGAAACCACTGGCAGGATGACACACACACAAATACAAAACTTTGCAGTATCCCAAATCCTGAAAATACCCACTGATGCAACTGAGAATGGAGCATGTGAATTCTGAGTCATACTGGATTGCACTGTAATTTGTAAAAGCACATTGTGTTTGAAATTAGGGTGAGCTTGCTGAAGTCCTTTCCACCTGTTATTCAGGTTGGGATTTAAACCTAAAATGCCAAATATTAGGCATTGAAAATGGTTTAAAATAAACCTGGTTGAATGTAGTATCAGATTTAACTGATTTGGGTCAAACCACCTTATGCAACTTCTGCCCCAGACCCCTTACTCATTTAAGTTAAATCACAGTCCTCCAGCATCCCAGCATTTTGCAGCCCTGGGCTGGGCTGCGCTGTCTGCTCCAGAGAGCAGGGCTGGCCCCATCCTTCTGGTCCCTAGCTAGAGCAGTGAGGGTTGGTTCACTGGCTCACTCACTGGACCCCCCTATGCAAACCCAGGATGTGGTCTGGGGTCAAGAAGGGGGTTAAAACACTCCTTCCCCCACTCAAACTTACTGCTGGCTGTGGCTGTGGATTACAAATCCCAGATAGCACCTGGAAGAAGGAAGAGAAAGTGATGGGCAATCCTGCAGAGTCCTACTTCTGTCATTCTGGACTGCAAATCCCAGAGACCTCAGGGGCAGCAGGAAGAGGAAGTGGACACACAGCCAGAGAGCCAAGCTCTAGCGCTCCCTGGCTTGTGGCTTGAGACCCTGTAGGCACGTGGCTGCATTTCCTGGATCAAAGGTAAATGTCTGCTCACTTCTATTTTAATCTGTGCAGTTTAGACTAACCTGCAAAGGCTGAATCAATTCAGCCTCAGGCTTTTTGACTGTCTGTACATAGCCTAGGAGTCTGTACAGCGCTTAGCACAATTGCTTGGGAGCACTGGGTAAACACGCCATGCAAATCAGTCACTTGTAACGGATGCTATTTATAAAACCCAAATGTGCACCCGCATAGAAAGATAACGTCCCCTCCAGGGCTTACAAACCTAAGCAAACACAAAGACAAAGCAGTGGAGGGATATAATGTGCAAGCAAGACAAGTTATATGCAAGGACAGGGCATTAGCATTCATATTTACTGCTCAGCTTCCTGGCTGTGTCCTCATTTGTCCCTGTCTTTTAGGGATGTCAGAACCTCCTCTTCCCTTAAATTGGGATAAAAGGAGAACTGTGAGCAGCAGCCATATAGCCCAAAGGATAATGATGGGTGAAATGACACATTTAGGAAAGGAAGAATCTGGTTCCCTGACAAACATTCAGCATGTGCAAATATTCAGCTGTGTCCCCCTGCTCGAGCATATCACCTACAAGATTTTTTTCACATCAGACTATGGAATAAACTAAAGTGTGGACTATAGGATAGGGCATCAGCCTGAAAGATTAAAAGCATCATCTATATTTCTTGAGTTATTTCAATTCAGTCCCTTTGACCACCACTAAAGGGTGATATAACGCCTTTATTTCCTACAACTCCAGTTTGAGCATAGCCCATCCTAAGGCTAATTTTATTAAGAACAAGGATATAACATTCATTTATGACACATACATATTAATTCTGACAGTTCTATAACAATGCAGTTTTATTTCCCTTGTAAAGGTTAATGCCTGAGATAAACTCTCATAACATTAAGCAAATCAATGTGCAAATACAATCATTTGCAGTTTAGAATATGGCAGGGTTAACTAACTGTTTCTTCTCTCATCACAAAAATAAATTGTTCCAAAATGCAATTATAGCAATTACAGATTTTTTTTCCCCTTAGTGGAGGCAACCATAGAAGTTTAAGGAAGCACTCACTTGTGTCTGCGTTGGCTAGAAAGGATACGAAGGTATTTAATGGAAAAAACAGAAGCTCCCTAGTCCACAAGACTACATGACTCATTCCAAGTGGCACAGGCTCCACGATAGCTTAGCAACCAACCTGACTCAGGGAAAAATGCACAGAGCAAATAGGTCAGATAAAAAAACAACGCTTCTGGATGTGAATCTGCAATGTTCTAATTTGGCTCCAGGGAAAACTCATCAGCCACTGAGTCTTTATTACACTGGACCTTTCCGTCATTTCCATTATTCCCAAGAATGAGCGTTTAAAAAAACAAAAACAAACATAGTGGTAATTAAAGGGAAAGTCTAAGCGTTGCTACTTAGATAAAAGACAAGAAGCCATTACCTATCTGAAGATCTGCTGTGACTAACTGATACCTGAAGTATGTACTTGTCTTGTATTGCTAAAAAAACCTCCTCCATCAGAAATACTTTATAGGAATGTGTGCAAATAGGAAACATGACATGATCTTCACAAGTAGCATCCAAGGTACGTGTGTCTAGCCGTCAAACTTTGGGACCCTGCAGAGGTATTCTCCTGATTTGTCCTGGCACACAGAGCTGGCAGATCTCAAGTTTCAGGTGAGGTCAGGATTTCAGACCGAAGCCAACATTTTCAAATGTGGATGGCCCACACTTTAAGCTCTCAAACTCATATTTGCACCCCCAGAAAAGTGGTCTGCTTTTCAGGAGTATGCTGATCATACTATGTCCTATTGATTTCTTTGACGAATCTTTGGAAAATAAGACCATTAATTCTGATGCCTAGATATACACCGCTGGGAATCTAATTTTAGGGATCCATTTTAAAATTCTTGGCCTGGCCAGCCACAAGGGAAACAAGAGCTCTCAGAAAAGGAAAAACCCCTTGTATTTCTAAGCAGATTCCTGATCAATTATGTGGGGTTTTTTTACAATCATTTAAAAAATAAAAGCCAATAAGGAATAGGGGAATGTTTGGATGGCACCACAGAGAACATTTTTAGTGCAGGGAATTAGCAGCAATTAATAACGATGTGGACACAGGAACATTGCACTGACAAAAACATCCGCTAGCCAGGAACTAGGTCAAGCTATATGGTGAGGACAACAAAAAACAGACTAGCGGTGGAAAAACATACAGCCTTGGCAGAAAGATATGGTGGCTGGGGAAGATCAGCTAGGGACCTCTAGAAATAGTGATGGGGTAAGTAACCAGGGAGTACTAATTGCAAGCAAGCAGAGAACTCGAAACCTTTGCCATTTTCTGACACTAACTCTAAGTCAGGCTTCTCCAGTAGCCCCATGGAAGAGGCTCCGAATGCTTGCAAAGACCTCAAAGAACATCATTAAGTCCAGCCAGAAGATCCCTATGTGCCAAATCTCCTCTACAGCAAGAGGGACCCTCCCATCCCCCAAGCCTGATCCCATTCATGGGAGCCCTCTCAGTGCCAGTATTAGGTACATCTCTGTATCTTCCCCTTATCTGTCAAATTTGTCTGGGTAGCCAAAAATTACTTGGTTGTCAGAGGCCTTCCTAGATTTAAGACATGCTTGCAAATGGAGCCTTTGGAGCTGTATAAACACCAACAGTATCAGCTGGACTGCCCCTCTTACACAGCCAGAGCCAGGGAGGTGTGAGATTATTATTTCCTTAGGACGTACAAAAGGACCTGGATTCCTGGTTACACGCAGTATGCTCTTTCCTCTCCTAAAGGCTTCTCAGACCAATGAAGCAGCCTTTCAAGAGGGTTCTGTCATCCACTGGACAATCACTTACCAGCTTATCTTCCTCCTGCTGTTGGCTAGAGGATTTTTCCACTTTTGGAACAGACTGAGACATCTTGGGGGAATCAAGGCCAGAACTGCCCTGCTCAGCATTGCAGTTGATAGTCTTCTCCTGTAACAAAAGGAGATATCGCACTGGGAACATTTGATGTTTCTACAGAGAGAAGCCAAAGATCATCCTTCAATGTTTCCAGAGATATTCCTCCATGAGAAAGAAGCTGAGATGCAAACAACCTATAGAAGTATCTTGTCAGGCTCCAAGCCTTCAGTGGTTGCCATCCTCAGGAATACATGTTGCAAGCACAACATTTTGGTATTTATTATTTTTCTATCATCGTGCTGTTATCTACTCTCCAAAATGTTCTGCTGCCTGCCTTAGGAAACAAGCGGACCTCACTGACATTCCCTTCAAGGAAGTTGCCCTCCATACAGAAGAGAATTAGATGACTCCGCGTCCCCCTAGACCCCCCACAACATTTGTGTCTCCATGCATACTCTGCACTGGAAAGAGGGCTAGAAAGGGATGGTGCCAAAGAGGACTCTATTCTAGCTCAGGGTTCACCCCTCACCCATAGCTTTTCTGCTTGGTTTAAGGTCCCTTGTTCATCTCACCAGTAGCTGAACTCCTCACCAGGAGGCTCAGGACTTTGACCCCTATATTTTGTAGAAGTAAATTGAATATTAAACCCCCAAGAAATCTTACACTTCATTGCCTTCAGTGTTTGCACACCTGTCCACGTTGCTATTGATCAGGGCCTTTTTCCATTAGTCTGGAGACGAATAATTGGGAACGCAAACATTAGGCAAGTCACGATTTTACCATGTAGTTGGAAACTATGCAGCATGAATAATAGGAACCTCTAAACCTAATCCACAACACAGGGGAATTGACAATTCAAAGGAAGGTGGCTTTTGCCAAGACTATCAAGACTGCCATGCAGTTTCAGAAAGATTTAAGAGACTATAACACACAGCAATTAAATACTAAAATAAGAGACACCTGAAATAATGCTGCAAACAAAAGAAACATTGATAAGTGACCATATATGGCAGCATCAGAATTCGGCAAATAGCTTTAGATGAAAAATATGAACAAATTCACAGAGATAACATGCTTGCTTTCCACTGTTCTCAACAAAATGTTTCAATTTTCCGTTTCAAGATTACATTTGACACAGAAATTGCCAAATGTGTGACCTCCCTCCAGGAGATCTTTTGCTTTGTTTCAAGCATATTTTTTCATTCAACCCCAAATAAAATTTTTCCTCCTCCTCCAAAAAATGAAGTGTTTGTTTTCCAATTATTTGTACAGTTCCACTCAACACACAGAAGTCTGAAGCAGTATTTATGTTAGTAATGAGTTGCAAACTTTGGATCAGATCTCAAATCTCAGTAGAGTTTGGAGCCAGGTCTCTTTCGGTTTCATATTATTAACTCAAGAAATTAATGAAGCATAATAACTACATAATTCCACAAAATGCTTGGGGCTATCATAAGAATTCAGTACTGAAAATGCCTGAACTACACTTTGTGGTTGTTTTTTTCTCTCCAAAATTGAAAGCTAAGGCATCTCTAGGTCTTCTCAGGATGCTTTTCATTCTGTATAGGTAAATAAAATGTATTTGTCACTTTAAAACTGGGTTAAGTAGATGGGTTGCCTTCACCCACCTTTTGGATTTGTCCCGTTTTGCAGGCACAATGGCCCGTTTGAATCAAGAATGCCAAGAACAGGTTCAAGAGAAATCCCCATAGGCAAGTCCACTTTTATCCAGGCTCAAGAATAAAAAATGCAACAGCATAGGCAACTCTAACAGACAACTCCACCTTCACTTTGCTTTTATAAAGAAGCCACTTTACATAATACAAATTATTTCAAATCTATCAAAAATTGAGTAGTGAGAACATGCACACACGTTCTATATATTCCACAAAGTGAATTTTGACCACTCAACATGCTTTAATGGCAAAAAAGCAATCTGCTGAGTCAATGTAGATTTAAAAGGAAGGGGAAAGAAGGTCACAGCTTCTCTCCCAGGAAAACTGTTTCCCTAAATGCAATGGAATAGATTGAGTGCTTCAGTTCCAAAGAAAAAAGCAAGCTGTAGGTTCAAAAAACAAGCAAGCTGTTTTGTTACCAAGCCCCTGTACCATGCATACACCATTTGGATCATCCTGTTTAACCAACACAATTAAAATACATAGTAAGCAAAGTTATTTTTACAGCCTGTGGATACAGAAGCAGAAGAGCTCCATTTAAGCTTCCTGCAGCTGCTGAAGAGACCAATAAAACACAAAGTGTGACTGCTCCTACTAATAAGCAACATGCAAAGTTTTCTATCTAATGCATTCTTAGTTGTCCATGCGGGATTGAAAAGCTGTTGTCTGTGGGATACAAATTAAAGACTCATGCTTGAGATAGGAGCTTGCTAATGTCCATAGCACTTGTGCCATATAATGGAATGTAAATACACTGACCGACATCCATCTGCAGTGAGTATTCATTATATCATGCTCTTTGCAAGGGCAAAAGATAAACCATTTGCTCAGCAGAAATGGTTCGCAAATAGAGAACATTCTTTGTGAATTTGCAAATATGAAAGAAACAGCTACCATTACTGCTGTTGTAGGAATTGTGTTATATAGCACAGCACAGGAATATTTCTATTAATTTTGGTGGTAGCTACACTGGACACTTCATGACTATTTCAGATCTCCATGCCTGGTGACAGCTTCCATCACCAGCCACGGAGGAAAGCCTCAATGGCCTTGCTTTAGCCTCCTTTAGCTTGTGCAAGAACTGAACTAGGCAATGTGCACATGTCCTACTTTCCAGGGGCTCACTTACTTGCCCATTATTAATAGCAACTTTTACCAAGTCTTTGTTACTTCTTAAAAGTAAAATTTTTAAATTTGCTTTTTTGGGAGAACTGTACAGAATTTTCCAGCACTTTAGTTTGCTTTATAGGTCTTCTGCATCTCTAAATTGTGTCATAATCTGCAGTGCTCCTGCTCTATCAGTCCACTAACCATTTGAACTACTCTGGATTTTAGCATCCAGGGCACACACTGTAACGAGATCAGTTGCCAATACCTACTTCCACTTAAGTAACTGGAAAGGAATCCATTGATTTCAGGAAGAGTTAATTTGGCTCCTTCCAGAGGAAATGAAACCCAACCAAGACAAAAAAGATCTAGCTCTGTTTCCCAAAACTATACAGATGTGAACAACATGACTTTTGTAAATTTAAAAAAAAAGAAATTAGAAATTACTCAGGCCCCCTCTACAAATTACACTTATGCTATGATTAACAATTATGGAATAAATGGTAAGCATGCTACATGTGCAACCCATTTAAGGCACCATAAAATGGCAAACCACCCATAAAATGCTCTACATATAATTAAATATGTATCTAAAAATGTTCTACATATTAAATTGAATATGTACCAGATACACCCTGGGGCCAACAATGAGCTGATTGTTCGATCCAGTCAGAGACTTCACCAGGGACTCAAACTGGTTTTGGTGGGAATAAGGGCTCGGACCAACCATCTGCTGGTTGTCAAGACCCCAGTACAGTTCCTACCAAAACCGACAGTCAGCGGGTTGTTGGTCCTGGCCCTGGACCTGAGGGCACCTGGCTTTCAGTTTGCCAGTGCAGGGTAAGCCCAGCATCATGTAAAAAGGGCACAATTGGGATTTGATCTCTGATCCCAAAATCATGCCTCCTGCCATGCACGTGTAACAAGGTGCAATTGTTAGGATCAGGGATCAGATCCTATGGTGCCTTTAAATGAACATGTGTCAGGGGCCTAAGAAAAATCTCAAACACAAGGGATATAAACTCAACCACTGTAAACTAGTAGTATAGCTCCACTGAAGTAAAGGGAGCTATACTTAGGTACATCAGCAAAGGATCTAACTCAGGATTTAAAAAAAAAAAAAAAAAATCTCCCTCAGGGTCAAGCCTATCAAATAATAGTCTTTAATAATTTCCTAAGGCATGCTTGAGAACTAATGTGCACCTTAATAAAACACTTCAATGTGCACTTCAATTGTTTATTGAAAATATCAATGAAATTAGATAATAAAAACAGATTAACTAAAGCACATTTGTTCGCATTGAGCAGTTTCAGAAAACTGGTGAAGATTTCATTAAACTTTTGCCTGAAACCAAACTTTCTTCTGACCCTCAAATGTTAGCAGAACGAAAATGAAGTCATGCTTTACAGAAAATAAATTATCAAGAGAAATGCTGACAAAATGTTAACGTAAATGCACTGCTAATATAGCATTCCTATAAAACCACAATGGTATTTAACGGTCTTGGTTTTATTTAATCTATAATTCACTTGTTTCAGGTTATAGTGAAGATAGCTGAAGATGAGAGGTTGGCCCCTCGACTTGGTTGGACTCTTGAGGAAGGCTTTCTTAAGTGAGTATGCTGTATAGGAACGGGGCCTAGAATTGTGCTTTATGATTTTTCAAAATAGGCATCAGTGATCCTTTTTTTTTTTTTTTTTTTTTAAAGGAAAGTGAATATAAAACAAACTGTTCAGCAATATTCTGATATATTGGAAGGAAAATGTTCTGAACCAATGTAATTAGAGAGCCTCATTATTTTCTAAATACTTGTTGTAAATAATGCTTCAGATAATTACTTCATTAGGTTCCAAAACACTGGCCTTTCTTTCCCTCTGAGATTTGTCCTACTACACCTACTTTCAATTATTTACAAAAAGAGAAAATCAGAAACAGTGTGCTGGAAATTCAATGTGCATTTCTTAAATAAATCAAATTTAGAATCAAGCTGTTGTGAAGTACTATGTGGATTTTGGGAAAGTTAAAGGTTATTTTGAATTTGGAGTATTTTGTGAACAATTAGTATAGTTTCTCCAAACAGCACTCCAACTTAATTTGGTTAGATTGGTCTGCAGAAGTAATATTAATCAATTTAAAGATGGTCAATTAATTCCCAGTCAGGGTAAGGTATCGACAATGAAGGAATGGTCGAACTCTAATTCTTGACATAAGTGCTCAGAGAAGGATCCATATGTCTAAATATTTAGGGAATAACAGTCTAGATTATTTTAACAAACTGGGATCAACAT